GATTGCTCGTCTGGTCGATCCTTGAGATGCTCGAGCGTCAATTCTCCCGCCTTTTTGGCTCGGCTTGCTTCCGGTTTAGCCTCCTCGACCAGCCAAGTAGGTCGTTTTACCCTTGAGTATATAATATCCTATATCATCTAGTCCCCCCCACTCTGGTCGAGTCTAGATGACTCGATCTAAGAGTGAATTGGTGTTTATCGACCTCCTTGGTGGTTCGTCATCCAATGTCGACCAGCCAATAGGTTTCCCACTCATGTTTTCAAATAATTTCCCATTAATTGCAAGCCATAAAGTCGTCTGTTTCAAGTCCTTCCTGTCGCTCCTACTTTTCTGCCACGCGTCACGCCTGTTCGCGTGTGTCAGGCACTTTAATGATGACGCCCCCTTGCATAACGTGCCCACTTGGAGTACTATGTAATTTAATTTTTCCACCGCACGATCCCACTTTAATCTGACGGTCCTCTTCTCTCACCCCTTAAACTCTCCAAGGTATAAAACCGATACTTAGCAAAATTTCAGACTTTTTCCACCTTCATCTCTCCCAAACTCCTTTGCATTCAAAGTTCTCTCTGCAAAAAATCCTAACTTCCGTCGGTGATTCTTCCTGCAATCTTCAAGTTTTCCCGATTCTCTCCTCCGTGATTATGAGTAAGTTGTTTTTCTCCTGATTTTTGTACTTCCTGTATCTGGGCTTTTGTGTTTTGAGAAATTTTTTCTTTCTTTTCTTTTCCGAATTGGGTATCTGAAGTTTGCTGATTGAGTGTTTTGAATCTGTGCATTGAATTTTTGTGCTCGTCTGTTGATCATTGTAGATTTCGTCCTTCCCCTTTGACATTCTCTCGGAATCCCTGTTCCCCTTCTTCAAAATAGCCCCTTTCGTGGAACCCTATTTTCGAAAACCCTTCCCTCCTTCCTTTTTCCTTTCTTGCCAAAATTCCTCTTTTTGATATTGTTCATTTCTTCTTTTGTTTTCAGATCCTGCTACCTCGACCACCTCCTCTGATTCGGTTGAGATCTTGCCTTCCGCACTTGAAGCCGTTCCTCTCTCGATTCTTCGCCCCGGTGATACTGTTCCTACCCGTGTTTTCACAGCCCGCGTTGCCTCTTCAAATTCCGGGGATACTATGGATAACATTTCCCTCCGCAGCCATCGACCTCCTCTCGGGGCACTAGACGAGCCAGAGGAGGACGGGGTTATTTCTCCGCAGCCTATTGCTCCTCCCTCTTCAAATTCTCCACCCAAACGATCTTTGACCAAGAAGCTTTCCAAACGCTCTTCTTCTACTTCTCTCTCTCACCCCTGGTTCAATCCTGATAAGATCGGCCAACCTCTTAGCTGGGCGTTCTTTAGATCTTCTCCCTCCGATAAATTTGACCATCCTCCCCGGGATTGTTACACCTCTTTCGAGATCCAATTCAAGCTTGGCTTGCGCTTTCCTTTATTTCCCGAAATACTTCGCATTTGCGAGTGGTTCTCCCTTCCTCTGCATCAACTTCCCCCTAACGTCATCCGTTTCATAACCACTTTTATTATTCTGTGCCGCATCCGTCCAGGTCGATTTGACCTGGACTCCTTCCATTACTGCTATGGCCCTTCCAAGCAAGGTCGAGGCCTCTACCTAAAAAGCCGCAACTGCGCTCACTTCATAAATGATATCCCTACCAACCTTCCCAAGTGGATTGATAGATTCATATTTGTTCGACCCAATGCCCCTTTCCCTTGGCTTTCCGTCCCTTGGGTCAAGGGGGTCTCACGAGAGGCAG